AGACCAATAAAAATAAAAATACACATATTATTATAAAATAAACTAAGTTAATAGTTAATTCAGAAAGTATTCAGAGCCCTTTTTGTCAACTGTGTATACTTTATTATAAATTGAGGGGGAAAATTCCATTTTTGCCCCCAAGTCTGCATTTACTCAGCCACATGACTGTGAAACCAAGGAAGGTTTTGGTAATTAAAAACAGTCAGAACTGTAGGACCTTATATACACAGGCGTGTGTACCTTTATAAACTATGTCCAGTTCATTAACTTTGCCACCTGACCACAGTTTGGCATCTGAAAACAGTTTGGTAATTTAATCTATTTGAAATTAAGTCGATAAAACAGTGTGGAAAATGTGAAGGGCTCTGAATACTTTTTGAAGCCACTGTATTATATATTCAGTGGACACACGACTAAGGTGCACCTGCAGTTCAATACAGCTCTGCTAGAAGAAGTTCAAGGCAAGGCTGCTTTATTTCTATAGAACACGTCCTACAGAGGCAATTCAAAGTGCATTACATAAGGAAAGAAAAACAGCAACAGCTTTACAAAATAAGCATTAAAATTAGGCAAGACAAAATGAAGATAAATCACTGTTAAAATGAGATATAATGCATAAAATGTAAATGAAAACAAATAGACATAGTAGAATGTCCAAAACATTATTATCTAGTAGTTACAGTGCAGTTGTAAGTTGCCCTGACTGCAACAGATGAAACTAAAAAGCAGCATAGTAACCGTGCATTTGAAGTAACAGGAAACCTGCAGAGGTTAGACAGTTTAGACTTGAAAGTGGCTAGAGTTGAAGTACAATTATTAAGTTCATAATGTTTATTTTGGTGTATATTGTCAGAAGTGTGTAAATTAATTTATATCTTTATTACTAAGGTCATAAGGGTTTGTTTGTACTGAACTACATTATATTGAGTATTTATAATTTGTGTACTGTTTACTTGGCCTGAACAAATAATCATTTAAATCAATACTGCATATAAAAGAATTCAGCTATGTTTTCAGCTCAAAGCATTTTTTTTAAATGTTACAAACAATAGCAGAGCAACATATCTCTGGGCCTGGTTCCAGACTGTACCAGTGGATCCTCAAACCATAATGAAATGTTTATAAAGGAGTGCCCAGTGTCCTGTGCAAATAATTGACTACAAATATACAGTCTTCCTTGATGGCACCTCATTAGAATCAGTTGGAAAATAGTGCAATAATCACCCTTTTATCCTGCTACAAGAGGTAGTAAAATTGGTGGATTTCAGTTTAAAGGTTCATTCACTAAGAGTTTGCACATTGGGGGATATTTACTAAACCTATTGCAAATTACCATTAGGAAGAGAAAGGATTGTGGCACCACAGTTTTTTTTTTAATTTGCAGCATATTTACCAGTGCTGATGATGTAAATGAGAACAGCTGCTGCCTGCAGGCTGCAGGCTGCAGGCTGCTGTGCATGTGTGGTCCGAGAGGAAGTGTATGTAGAGATATGTAGAGATACTGCTTGCAGCCAATGATGCATGAAATTTTTTGTATAAGATGATGTTATGGGGTAGGACTAGATAAGTCTGACTTCTTCCTACTCCATTCAAACATGTACTAGGTATAAGCAAACTGATTCTGAATCAGCATTGGTTGGATTTGTATAATTATGTGTGTGTTGATGTTGTTTGTTCTGCATGTTTGAAAGAATAAATAAAATAAAATAAAATAAAATAAAGTGTGTCTGACTGTCCCTGTGTGTCCAGGATAACACCCCTGAGAGCCAGAGTGCTTCATGCTTTAGCAGAAGCAGAGAAACCAGAAGAGTGTTCAGAACCCAGCGTGAATGAGAACAACATGAGGCTTCCTCTATGCCGGCCACCACACAGGTGATAGTCACACAACATTGTGCAAAGATTCCTGCCGTTTTTCAGTGCAAACCATGGTGGTTAGATATTGTAGACACAGCTGACTTGGCTTATGAGTGTTCCTGAGAACAAATTTACAATATGTGTCTAGTATGTTCTGAGTGAACATGTACAGCAATATGCAAAAACTATAAATGTAGAAATATAAAAATGAAAACTAAGAAACATGTATAGGATATACATTTGTTATCCATACCGTTTATTCCTGAATAAAGTCACGGGTGGGAGTACTGGAGCCAATCCTAGCTGACATGGGCAAAAGGCAGAGTACACCCTGGACAGGGCTGACACTTGGAGACAAACAACAACACCCACTCACACAGGCAATTTAGAGTTACCGGTCAACCTAAGCTTTGGACTGTGGGAGGAAGCCGGTGTACCCGGAGAGAACCCACGCAAGCACAGGGAGAATATACAAACTCCAGACAGAAAAGCACTGGGTTGGCCCAGGCTGTCTTTAGGAAAATAGCCTGTCTTCTGGCTATTTAGGAAAATTAAATGCTGTTAAATGTCCTGTCATTAAACAATGAAAATTAAATTGATGGGTAATCATAAATTATGATGGAATTTTTATGACTGTCCACAAAAATGACAGACAACAAGAAAGTCTAGTGTGACCTCTATTTCATTAAATACAAATTATTTTTCACCTTTGTAATAATTAAAAATTTTGACTTTAGAAAAACCTAAATTTAATGATTAAATGAATAAATACATGAATAAACCGAAATGGATTTTCCACCCATAAACATTAAAGTACATAAATATTTGTCTTTTGGATGAGATTAAGTTTGCCATGTTGGCAGAGGACAGAAATGTGTTGGGAGAGCACACATCCAGAACTGGCACGTTTATTGAACCTGTACAGAGTACATTTCAACACCTCCACTTTGGAACGTATTTACACTGAACAATGAACTTATGAAACTTTACATGTTTTTTTCCCTGGTGATGGGCTTAAGGAAAACATCTACCACTATGTTGCCTGTGGGACAGTACATCATCCAGTGCTGATCTTACAAAATAGTACTTAATGTCAATGTGTTTGCACCTCTGATGGCAAACTGGATTTCTCAATAAGGCAAGCACTCCCCGATTGTCCTTGTAAACCTTCACAGGTCCATAATGATGACTTCTGTCCATGTTATTTAAGAGTCATGTGAGGTAGACCTTCTTGCACTGCAAATGAGCCCTGATTTACTAAATACATGCTCTGAAGCGGGATCTGGACTTCACTGTCCTCAAAGGACATTCTTTTCTCGCAACCTGGCTGCCATGACGCCCCATGGTCAGGTCCTCGGCACTCAAGTCCATCTTTACACTGTCGTAGCTGCCACCTGAACTGTACTGAGGGGACTTAAGACACACACACAGAACATTACATCATCTCATGGTTCTTTGTCTCCAACTGCAAGTAATCTAGACCATTAGTGTAGAAAAACAGAAAAAACAGCTTGGTGGACAGCATTCATGAAGATAATGAGGCTTCTACAAGTGGTACAGAAACACACGTGACCCCAGCCAGTCAACATCCAGTATCAGCTGAAGTTATCTTATAATTGAGGCTAACTGTCTTAAACAGTTATGAACTTAAGCATACATTCAAAAACCAATAAAGTGCAGGTAGTTGTCATGGAAACGAAGCGGTAAGGGGCAAAACGTCTGTCTAACAATTAATCAATTAGTCGATCAGCAGAAATTTAATTAACAACTACTCTGGTAATAAAACAATAGTTTGATACATTTTTTAGGAAGACAAATAATTCACTGGTTCAATCTGAGAATTTGTTCAAATCCTTTTTAACTGTAAATTTGATGTTTGTGGTTTTACACTAACAAAGTCTGAGGACGTCACCTCAGGGTGTGGTTACAGCAGTTTTCTCCATTTTCTGCTGTTTTATTGACCACATGATGAATATGCAGCAGTTCTTCATGAAGTGTGCGTCCCATCCGACGACAGACAATGACCCCTCTGTGGCCCTCGACCTCATCATGAGCAACACCAGAGATGTGCCGTGCATCGCCTGCACCGATGTCATGTAACACAAACACACACACACACACACACACACACACACACAGGGTGTGTTACATTTCAGTCTGTCCTGCCCTGCTCTGATGATTTGTCTTCGGTCGAAGATGGAAAGTATCACTGCAGATAAAACTTCAGTTTCAGTTCAAATCCATATCATTTTGTTGGAATGGCCACATTCAGACACCAAGAGTAAAGTGAAAGGAAAAAATATATATAGAACTTAGTTTCTGAAAGTTTGAAAACAGCAGATTAAACTCTGTTTTTAAATGGAGTCATAGTTTTTAAACAGCAGCCAAAGTCTGCAGTAAAAAGAAGCAAAATGCTGAGTGCAGTCTGTGCCACTTATGAGAGAACCAGTAAGAAGAACAGAACCAAATGCTACTGACTGAAGGTAAATGAACATGAATATTTGGTACTTTAGTAATAATAAGTAAATAGAACAGTAAAAATGACAGTAATGAGGTCTGATTGTGTGAGAACACTCCATTGTTTGGTCTGCTGACTGATTATTGATGGTCCCTGCCTGTTCTTCAGGGATGTGGTGCTGGTCTTCCAGTGTCCCAAGCGTCATGTGATCTGTCTGGACTGTTTCCGTCGATACTGTGAGACACGACTGAACGAGCGACAGTTTGTGCATCATCCTGAGATCGGATACTCACTGCCCTGTGCAGGTGACACGATTCTGGTTTCTGCTTAGCTCAGTGCTTCTGAGTTTCACCTGAAATCTGTTCACACCTTTCTTTTTAAAATTATTTGTCATATTATTAAGCATACAGAACATACAACAGTGTGCCAGTGGAGCACAAAACTTGTTGACCATCTCGTTCTTTATGTAAGAATGTGAGGAGCATCTTTGTGAAGAGAACTTTTATCGAGACATTGGTTATTTGTTGTATATGTCCCATGTCAGATTTGGCACTAGACATCCTGGTGATACTCTGTCCTCTAGGGGTGTAAACAGAGTGATGTGGTGTATGCAATTAAGTGTAGTCAAGAGTGTAACGACTTGTACATTGGTGAAACTAAGCAGCCGCTTCACAAACACATGGCCCAACACAGGAGGGCCAACTCCAGTGGACCAGAGTCAGCAGTCCACCTCCACCTGAAGGCCAAAGGACACTCTTTTGAGGACTGTGAAGTCCAGATCCTCTCCAGAGAACATCGCTGGTTTGAGAGAGGAGTTAAGGAAGCTATTTTTGTAAAAAAATAGAACACCCCTCACTAAATAGGGGTGGTGGACTAAGACACAACTTGTCATCCATCTACAATCCTGTTTTGAGATCTTTGCCCAAACATGCCCACCAGGACAATAGGCATCGGTCGACAGGGGAGGATTCAAAGACAGTTAACGACGCTCACCGATACTGGGCTATAACGACTCAGTCGGTAGGGGACATTGTTGGCCTTCAAAGGACTGAAACACCACCGAGGGGGATAAATATCTCCGGCTCATCACCAGTCAGTCAGAACTGATGAAGCCTCTTGGATGAGAGATGAAACGTCATCGACCTAGAAACCTAAGTCCAGTTGACTTTTTCCAAGTTTTTTCAGTTTACTATGACCTGGATGACTGAGAATCTGCACAGATAGGTTCATTGTTTGGTGTAAATAAGTTCCAGATATAAATTGAGGGGGAAAATCCCATTTTTGCCACCCAGTCTGCATTTACTCTGCCACATGACTGTGAAACCATGTGTTGTCTGCGGTTCTTTTTACCATGCTAACTCTGAGAGACGAAGCAGTCCAAGTAATTTCAAAACAGTGCTGATTTATTCAATGATCACAGGTAAAAATTAACATTACACCTTATCTTGCACCTCCAACATGCACGCAGGCAGCTGAAAGATGAAAAGACCCCGAACTACAACAGCCCTATACATTATATAACTTCAGGCTAACCCCATTCTACACAGGAGATGCCAAACAGTGACGTTTCCCGGTGCCAGCTTTGCAGCTGGCCAGAGCTGTAGTCAAAACATGAGGAAAAATCAATGTGTGATTGTCTGTTGATTATGTGGTGTGTAGCTAAAAACATTCTAACACGACCTCTAGTGACATGTCCTAACATTAAACATAAGAACATATTATGGCTAAGGCTACAGTTATACACGTCATAATAATAATATTAAACATCCTGTCTTGTAACAGTCATCAACTTTCTATCTAGTTATCCTTGACCATATGCAACCTGCTGCAACTCATGAGAATGACTAAGCATTTAACAGCCTGAGCTAGACATCCTGTCTACTCTAAATATTTCTAATACATCAAGTATCTAACCAGTATCTATCTGACTAAAAATACCTAACACATGGAAGGTTTTGGTTTGAGATAAATGTCTCCGGCTCAACACTAGTCAGTCAAAACTGATGAAGCCTCTTGGATGAGAGGTGAAACGTCTTTGACCTAGAAATCTAGTCCAGTTGATTTTTTTCTAAGCTTTTTCAGCTTACCATGACCTGGATGACTAAGAATCTGCACATACTAAGCAGCAGTTTCCTTAGTAGTTCCCCATTGTAGTCAGACAGAATACCCACTTCAACGGTGACACTGTCCAATGCATGGATGCAAATTAAGAATGGATCTATTTAGCAAATTGCAGAACAAGGAGAAAAGAATAACAAAACCCACTAGGCCAAGCCACATAGCATGGATGCAAATTAAGAACGGATCTATTTAGCAAATTGCAGAACAAGGAGAAAAGAATAACAAAACCCACTAGGCCAAGCCACATAGCATGGATGCAAATTAAGAACGGATCTATTTAGCAAATTGCAGAACAAGGAGAAAAGAATAACAAAACCCACTAGGCCAAGCCACATAGCATGGATGCAAATTAAGAACGGATCTATTTAGCAAATTGCAGAACAAGGAGAAAAGAACAACAAAACCCACTAGAACAAGCCACATAAAGATGAGATTTGTA